GAGGAGGGGCACAGAGAGAGGCGGAGAGAGAGAACCCCAAGCGGAGCCCCATGTGGGGCTCCAACTCAGGAACCATGAGATTATGACCTGAGCTGAAGTCGGATGCTTAACCGACTGAGCCACCCAGGGGCTCTTTATTTCATTTTCTTGCCTAACTTCCCAGGGAAGAATCTCGAGTACAATGTTGAACAGAAGTGGTGGAAGCAGACATCCCTGTCTTGTTCCTGATCTTAGTGCAAAAGCTTTCAGTCTTTTACCAGCATGATGCGAGCTGTGGGTTTTTACAGATGCCCTTATCAGGTTGAGAATGTTTCCTTCTCTTCTTGGCTTGTTTGTGGTTTTTATCATGAAAGGGTGTTGAATTTTGTCAAATGCTCCTTCTGTATCTATTAAGAATGTTACATGACTTTTTCTCCTCTATCCTATCAACATGTTGTATTATATTGATCCGTTCTCATATATTGAACAACAAACCATGCATTCCCACTAGGTTTCCCATGCAAGTCCACTAGGTTTCAACGTATAAATCTTTCTATGAACTGGGAGACTTGGCTTGCTAATGTTTTGTTGAGGATCTTTATGTTATATTCATAAGGGCTGTTGGTCTATAGTTTTCTTTTCTTGGGATGTCTTTGGTTTTGTGATCAGGGTAAGACTGGTCTCATAAAATGAGTTTGGAAGTCTTCCCTCTTCTTCATTTTAGAAGAGGTTGTGAAGGATTGGTGTTAATTCTTCAAATATTTGGTATGACTCACCAGTGAAGCCATCTGGTCCTTGGTTTTTCTTTGTTGGAAGTTTTTTTTATTATTAATTCAATCTCTGTACTTGCTATAGGTCTAGACAGATGGTCTATTTCCTCTTCACTCAGTCTTGGTGATTTGTGTCTTTCTAGGACGATGTCCATTTCATCCGGGATATCTTTATTTGCTGGCATAAGATTGTCCAGAATATTCCCTAACCATCTTTTTTTCCCTGTCAGGTCGACTAATGTCCCTTCTTTCATTCCTGATTTTAGTTATTTGAATCCTTTCTCCTTTTTCCTTGCTGATCTAGCTAAAGTTTTGTTAACTTTGCCGATCCTTTCAAAAAACCAACTTTTGGCTTCACTGGTTTCCCTTTATTATTTGTCTCTTCTCTGCACAAGGTTTTTGTTTTGTTTTGTTTTGTTCACAATTTCCTGCGATTCTACGATTATTTCCAAACAAAAAGTACAAAAAAATGTATTGTGAACATTTATGTGCTGGGGATGTAGTATGGTGAGGACAAGAATGTATAGCTAAGTGTGGGGAGAGGGGAAGACAGATAATAAATGAGTGAACAAGACCATTTCTTGATGTGAGAAGCGCCCTGAAGAAAATGAAGGAACAGGATGTGATAGAGACAGGTGGGGAAGACTGGGGTGGCATGAGAAAAGACTCCTCCACGCAGGAGTCAGGGAAGGGCTTGCTGAGAAAGTGGTATTTGGGCTGAAATTCAAATGAAGAGAGAGGAGGTAGCCACACGACACTCTGGAGGAGGGAAGCTCTGGGCAGAGACCAGAGGCGCCATGAGCTTCAAGCGTCAGAAGAGCAGAAGGCAGCCTCTGGCTGCTGGAGCCCCGGGGCCCGAGGCAGTAGAGGGAGCCGAAGGCCTGTTCACAGACAGCCTCCCAGGCCACGGGAGGCATGAGATTTCACTTCTAAGTATACTGGGAAGTCATGGCTGGGGTTTTAAGCAGGGGAGGGGTGCGAGCTGACATTTGTAAAAGATCACTTTGGTTACAGAGTAGAAAATGGAGCAGATGGGGCCAGAAGAGAAGACGAGGAGACAGGAGGCCATTTAACAGTGGGCAGGGGGTGAAGGCGACAGACCCGGGCTCTGTATTGCAGGAGGAATCAACAGGACTTTCTGGTGTCCTGGAAGGTGGCAGGAAGGGGTCGGGGCAGTCAAGGAACGCTCCTAAGAGGTTAAGAGGTGGCCTTAGCAGCAAAGCAGACAGCAATGCCATTTACTGAGCACAGGAATCTTGTAGGCGGGACAGACGTGGGTAGTGCAGGGGAATGAAAAGTTAGGTTTCAGATCACTGAAGTCTGGGATGTCCAGTAGGTGCCCGACAAGAGACGCCAAGCAGGAAGTTGGCATTTAAATCAGGAACTCAGAGAGGCAGGCAGGCCCTGGCATATCCATCTAGAATCATCTTGAAGCCACGGGCCTGGGCGAAGCCAATAAGAGAGATGGCGTGGGCACAGAGGGGAGCCGGGCCTGCACTGAGCGTGGGGCACCCCCATATGTTCTGGCAGCCCCCAGCTCTCTTCCACTGAAGCAACTTCTCTTCTGAACCCAGACTCCACTCTCAGTTACCTGCTGGTCAGATTTCAGCCGAGCTCCCTGACTCCGTGGCAGTATGGCCCGGGGCAGGTCCCTAGTCCTCCCCGAGACTTGGTTTCTCATTTAATCAAATGTGGAGAGCAGCCCCAGGTTCATGTGAGCATCGCACGAGGGATGCCTGAGGACCCCGGCTAGCACGCTGTGGGGCTAAACCCCTGCGAAACCGGGTGATCCAGAGAGGCTGCGTGTGTTGGTAGTCCCGGACCTCGTACGTAGGAGGACCGTTGGGGAGACCCCATGCCAGGACGGCAGAGGGAATTCAGCCTGCCCACAGCTGGGCCTGGAGACCCAGTAGCCCAGGAAGAGATGGCTGCCTCATGTCCCAACCTCAGGGTCAAAAATTGAAAACCCCAAGCCCACCAAAACCATGGGCTGGGCTTGTCCCTGCCGTCACATGGCAAAGCTCACCAGCCTCTGCTAAGCGGAGGAAAAGGAACAGTAATTATAGAAACTGGCGGCCATCAGGGGCGCTGGGGGGGCTCAGTCGGTTAAGCATCTCATTCTTGGTTTCGGCTCAGGTTATGATCTCAGGGCTTCGTGGGTTTGAGCCCCACATCGGGCTCTGGGCTGGCAGTGAGGAGCCTGCTTGGGATTCTCTCTCTCTCTGTCTTCTCTCTCTGCCCCTCCCCACCTGGCACTGTCTCTGTCTCTCTCAAAATAAACAAATAAACTTAAAAA